GCTCTTGATCAGTACAGACTAGGAACTATACCACATTGTGCATCACCAAAGGAAATCAGGCAATACCTGAAGACACAGTTCAAGCCATGCTCTCAACAACGGGGAAAGTTCAGAGATCAGATCCTGCCGTGGACTCCGGCTGCTGCATTGGACAAAGAGGGGTACGTAGTATTTAATGAAGCTTTCTTGACCTTTTGAATGCTGTAACGGTTTTAAAAACGATAGCTGAGAAAGTTTAATCTGGTATGACATACTGTCATGTATGTACTGGCAATGTCAAAAACGTAACCCATGCAAATTCCAACTAGTAACTTCCAAGGTAGCACTCATGGAACAGGAATTTTTTGGGTTTATCAATCATTCATTCAGATCATCTGTGTTGCGCCAAAAGTGTACTCACAAACACTGCATTACTTAAACTACGTGTTTAGAGGAAAGATGACTTTCTAATTAGAAAAGAATTTCAATTTTCCTGATGCTAGACAACCTAGTTTGTTGAAGAAAAGAAAGCGTAACATATAACGAGAGAATGAGGTTAAAATGGGGACTATATGATATTGAGAAGGGTATACATACGCCGTTTTTCGAATAGTGCCAAGCACTGTATCCCATTTGGCAAAACAAAAGTCAGAGATCTGGAAAAAGGCATTTTCAGTTACTGTGCTTTCGTATTTTCTTCCAATTTTCTGAAGAAATGTATATCGTCCTTGTACAGGCTGGCTGTGAGAGTTCTGTCATCTGAACGAGCAGGAGCTGGGAAGAGCTTGGTAGTTTGTCGGCTCAGCCAGAGCTTACCTGGACTTAAAAACAATGAAACAGTGGTGGACTTCCTAAGAGACATGGAGGCTGATGTGCCACTTTGTATCACTGTACCAATTTATGGACCTTTTGTGCATCAATACACCATTGCAGAGTCCTTGTTACCCCACACCATTGTTCCTGATTTGCCTCTTTCACGAGTTTTCCATCTTGATGTACATCCGTCGGTAGGGGAATACTTTATCACTCCAGATTTATTCCCGACCTGCATCGTTTTGACTACTTGAAATTTATTTCTCCGTATGTTTGTATTAGTGTCATTATTCTAATTTGGTGAAAAATGTTTAGGTAAAAAGTGGCCTTGACACGCTTCTATTCAATCTGCTAGTCCTTGGTGTGTTAGAGAGCAGTAGTGGCCAGGTCTGGAGGAGAAGACCCTCTGATCTGTATGTGATTGAACTAACTCCAGGACCATCACAAAGTTCAAATGAAACTATTGAAAGAAGACTTCCGGTCACCAAGGTAAGTATCGCTGAGAATTTCACTTAACGAGATCTTGAGGGGATAGCTGACTTGTGATTGTTTTGCTTAACAGCGTGGTAGCTCCACGAAAGTCATAGCAGAACCGTTTTACAGGCTGCTTCCTACCATTCACTGTGGAACACCAATGCAAACATTATTTCAACTGAGATCGAATCCAGTGGGTAAGGAAAATAAATTCATGTTATAACAGTATTGAAAAAATTTCATAATGAATTGTTTCAGTTAGTTTTATGCTGTCCATTTTCAATGCACACTCTCACAAATCTAATGGACAACACAGTATCAAGCGGTAAAATAGTGTTACAGTGCTTTTCCGCTTGCACCATAGTACTTGCCCAGGAGATGCAGACATCATTATAACCTTATCTGTATCTGGATTTTTATGCAGCTGGCAACAGTCTCAACCCTCTCTTTGACAATGCTGAATTCCAAAGCTCTTATGTTCAGCGTGCGTTTCAGTACCTTAAGCTATGGGAATCAGCTGGCGATAGTCTGGATCATTTCTGGTTCTTACCAGGTCAAGTGATGGGTGACCACGCAGAGTGTATAGAGACACTCACCAGGTGATGATTCCTTTGATCGAATTTTTCAGTATGCGTATGGGTGCTGTTTATTCAGAGATCCCAGAGAAGAGTAAAAAAAAAAACAGGACTAAATTTTGTCTCTGAATTGCATTCAATAAATCATTGTATGATGAAGTTCATTGTTTTGTTATTCCACAGGTCTCCAAGAAATGAAAAGTAGAAGAGCAGTTTTAATTCCACGCTAAACTGCATCAGATTGTTACCACAAAATTAACAATACTTTCTTTTGATGGGCAACAAAAAATTAACCCTTGCTTGCGTACATGTCAAGATTGGAGCATTTGTAAGGATTCAAAAAAGCATTTGCTTCTTTCCCACGCGCTTCCCTATACAATGTAATCTCTTAACTGATGTGCGAAAACAAACGATTTAACCAAAACCATTCTTTATCACTTGATGCTACAATCATGGTATAAAAAACTCCCCAATTATTGGTGAACACGTTGTTATCATTTCCGTGACACAATAGGTTACCATAACAAAGGTATGACCTGCTAAAAACACCCTTAATTCAGCTTTAGGGGCTTATAATTCAAAAACGGCACGGTGAAACGTTTTTATATTATCAAATTTTGATAAGCAAAGTTTTTAACAATATCTGTACATAGGGTTCAGAGCCACCTTACAGTTTAAAATTAAGGTGGCTCTCAATCCTATGTACAGAATCGTTTTAAACTTCGGCAAAAGTTGCGTTTTATCATGCTTATCAAAATTTGACAATATGAAAAAAATTCACCGTGCCGTTTTTGAATTAAAAGCCCCTAAAGCTGCAATTGGTCATACTGTTGCTACGGTAACCTATTGGTCATGTTAGACATACCGTTGCTATGGTAACCTATTGTGTCACGAAAATTATAGCAACGTGTTCACCAATGATTGGGCAGTTTTTTAATACCATGGTTGTAGCATTAAGTGGTAAAGAGTGGTGATAACGACCTATCAAATTCTAAGTGCTGAAAACTGTTTTGAGCCACCTTGAAACAAAAAGGAAGCAGTGTAGTAAAACTAGCATCTCTTCAACATATGTTCAATAGCGAAATAATGCTACTTCCAATGAATTAACAGAAAGTGTAAAGTAAGGTTTCGCTTAGATGCTAGAACTTTCCAATCCTTGTAATAATTAGGTTTTTCAAAATAGCAGTCTTCTCATGTGATTTGTAGTATCATGTCGCACAGGGAGTGCCTTTTCTTGAGTATGCTTTTCAGATCGGAAAGTCTCATTTCAAATGTTGGTGCTTTTCTTTCTCTTTACCACAAACTTTATAACCAATCTCTTTAAATATAACACTTTATATAATAATTAAATGAATGCGCGCGCTCTGATTGGTCAATCAGCTATGGTTTATTGTTCCAGTAAACTCATGGAAATTTCGCTTGTCTTCTGAATTATTATATAAAAGCTGCGGCTCGTGATTTACGAATTCTTCTCGTGTTTTTCCAACATCCCGCGTGGTTTATCAGCCTATAAACCAGAAAAACTTGTGGTCTATTGCTTAAATAACCTTGGCATTGATTTGATAATTTGTTTGTTTTCTGACAGAAATTGTGGCATCGAGGACCCTTCATGGTCTGAGTTACGGTACTTTGTAAACTTCCTCAACTCTCAGCTTCAAGCCTGTGAGGAAAGTTCATTCTGTAACATGGATTTAGTGGGGGACACGTTGGAGGGTTTTAGAAGCTTTGTGGTCCGCTTCATGATCTTGATGTCGCGGGTAAGGGTAGAGTAAGTAAGGTAAAGAAAAACGTTATTTAGCCAGGGTGGCCCATTCAGCGTCATCCGATTGACTGCTATCTAGAGGGACTCGGGTGATAAATATTACAAGCATAAAAAGTACACAGGGTCGCTATTAATTTAATCTCCAACAGCCATCAACGTAACATTTATTAGTCCGTTGTCACTTAGTCGGTTCATAGTGCGACAGTGTATCAACACCCTCAAACCGTATGACCTGATCTAATGTAAACGTGAAGAACCTAAGACTCGTGTTACGAACCTCAATCCAACCCAACGAATCAAGGTGGTCAAAAATAGTTTGTGCCCGCTCTTCAGTGTTCATTGCTGGCACGAGACAGTGTACGGACAAGAGATGAGCAACAAACTTGGCTCTGATTCCGCAGTTCTCATATACATTCTTGTTCTATCTTGACTGCAGAGTGCGACTTTGTTTGACAATCTGTTGTGTGTTAAATCTTTTGACAGAACTGTACGCAGGAAAAAAAAACCATAACGGCTGGGTAAAATGATCCAGTTATTTTAGTTGCGCGAACCTAGTTTTAGTAATGTGGCTCGTGCGTAGTGTATACAAATCGACACTAACTTCTTTACTGGCCTTCTTTGCCAATTTCTCAAGAAATAGTCATGGAAATTTCATTACATTTTGGAGGATATTTCTTCCCAAAACAAATGCATGCCTTACTGTCAAGACTATGAATCTGTAAATCCTGGGCATATCATTCAACAGACATTCAACAAAGGATAACTAGAACAGTCCAAAAGTGCGAGTATTTTTCTGACTTTCATGCTGACTGATGATGGAGAAAATCTAGCAACTACATTTTCAGCAAATACTTCAATTTGTCAAGCTTGGTTTTATCGAGTCGTAGCATTGTAGTCACTGAAAGAAACAGACTTTGTTTGGCAACCTTAGACTTGCTATAGTATATTACATGTAAATTCTGAAAGCAATCATTACTTCCTACTTTGAAGGACTTCGCTACACCATCTCTTAATTCTTGTGAAAGTCCCACTGGCACTTCTGANAGCTTTGTGGTCCGCTTCATGATCTTGATGTCACGGGTAAGGTTAAAGAAAAACCTTATTTAGCCAGGGTGGCCCATTCAGCGTCATCCGATTGACTGCTATCCAGAGGGACTCTGGTGATAAATATTACAAGCATAAAAAGTACACAGGGTCGCTATCAATTTAATCTCCAACAGCCATCGATGTAACATTTATTAGTCCGTTGTCACTTAGTCGGTTCATAGTGCGGCAGTGTATCAACACCCTCAAACCGTATGACCTGACCTACTGTAAACGTGAAGAAGCTAAGACTCGTGTTACGAACCTCAATCCAACCCAACGAATCAAGGTGGTCAAACATAGTTTGTGCCCGCTCTTCAGTGTTCATTACTGGCACGAGACAGCGTACGAACAAGAGATGAGCAACAAACTTGGCTCTGATTCAGCAGTTCTCATATACATTCTTGTCCTATCTTGACTGCAGAGTGCGACTTTGTGTGACAATCTGTTGTGTTTTAAATCTTTTGATAGAACTGTACGCAGGAAAAAAAGAACCATAACGGCTGGGTGAAATGATCCAGTTATTTTAGTTGCGCGAAGCTAGTTTTAGTAATGTGGCTCATTCGTAGTGTATAGAAATCGACACTAACTTCTTTACTGGCGTTCTCAGAAACGCGCCAATTTCTCAAGAAATGTTCATGGAAATTTCATTACATTTTGGAGGATATTTCTTCCCAAAACAAATGCATGCCTTACTGTCAAGACTGTAAATCTGTAAATCCCGGGCATATCATTCAACAAACATTCAACAAAGGATAACTAGAACAGTCCAAAAGTGCGAGCATTTTTCTGACTTTCATGCTGACAGATGATGGAGAAAATCTAGCCACTACATTTTCAGCAAATAATTCAATTTGTAAAGCTTGGTTTTATCGAGCCATAGCATTGTAGTCACTGAAACAAACAGACTTTGTTTGGGAACCTTAGACTTGCTATAGTATATTACATGTAAATTCTGAAAGCAATCATTACTTCCTACTTTGAAGGACTTCGCTACACCATCTCTTAATTCTTGTGAAAGTCCCACTGGCACTTCTGACCAAGACGGTGATGCTAACGGCGATGATGAAGGAGCTACAGAAGCTGAGGTTGTCCGATTAAGTCTCAGAAGACGCTGGGAGACTAGGTATGACATTATTCTTTGGAAAAAAAATATAGCGTTCTAATGCTTCTCGACAAGGCTTTAGATTAATATTTGACGTCTTTCTTACAACTAAAGATGAGTCCCATTAGCGTTAACTATTTGGAATCCTATGCGAGTGAGGATTCAGTTGATGTGAGAGATGTCAAAACGTGTTGCTGTGTCAATTCCACTCGTTGCATGTCTTAGATTTTGACTGGTGAAAGCAAACTAAACCCATCAGTCAAAAGGTTGTCAAAAATATTTCGAAAGTTGATAAAAACTGTGTTCAGTTTTGATTGTATGTTGTGCGTCATCGTGAGACACGTTATTGATAAACATGCAATCAAGCACCATGTGCCAAAAACGATGACAACTTTGATCTGTAGGGAAACTGTTATACTCCGAAGAACAGATATTAAGTGATACAATTTTATTCTTTGTTATTTCTCACAAACCGATTGTTTTTCCGCAGCTCGCATCCTTACATATTCTTCAACCAGGATCGCATCACCATGACATTTGTTGGTTTCCACATCGACCAAAATGGCAATTTGATTGACCCAGACCTTCATGTTGTCATTCAGCAAAATTTGATGTCAAGGCACCTGCGTACTGGTCTGTTTGTGCAAAAGGTTGACATGGAAACTAACTATGAATCTTGGAGCAAGTAAGTTTGACATTGATTTATTGATATATTATTGGATCTTTCTATTGGGGTGGGGCACTACATCCCGCATTATTTTGGATTTATTCGCTAGTTGTTAAAGAATGTCCTTTTTGCGGTGTGTCCTAGTTTGGGAATGTCTCATCTAATACGGAAATTTAAGACCTAGGTAAGAACGTATCAAAACTGCAAGAAGCTAAAGGAAAAAGTTTCTTATGGTGATTTTATCATGAGATTTCGAGCTGAACGAGCTGAGCCTCAGTAGTCAGTAATGTAAGTCAGTAATGGTGCACATTCAGTTTTGATGTTTTGAATATTCGGTTTATTCAAAAGCTGCATTGTTTGCAAAGGGTGCTGGCCTGGTGTTCTTCACATTAGTGGAGAGCTTGATACACTAAATAAAACTTCTTGAACTTTTGTGTTTGATAATATAGAGGCGAGAAAATTGAGAAGCTTTGTGGAGTAATGGGCGTTGAGTGGCCTTATGATCCAGATGACTCATATGAACTCACCACAGACAACTTGAAGAAAATTTTGGCTATCCACATGCGCTTTAGGTAAGGTGAAATATTTTAGTACATCGTAGGACACACTACCTGGGATATTCTAATGACATTAAAAATGTAATAAACAATAAACTATTTAGAGAAATGGTGTTTATTGAGGTTGGTTTCCACCTGAATTAATAGGGTAGAATGGAAAAAAAGAAAGGTGTCTTTTAGAGACTGCAGAGAATCGTTTCCTATTTATGGATCACTAAACATCGCTGTAATTGTGTTTAAGATGTGGCATCCCTGTGGTTATAATGGGCGAGACTGGCTGTGGAAAAACATGCCTCATTCGATACATGTGTGGCTTACAGTCTGGGCCTGGTGGACCAAAGAACATGCTACTAATGAAGGTATAAATATAACGGCTGTGTGTACTTGTTATTTGATATTTTGCATTGATGGAGTCATTTACCCATAGTGTACGTTTCTCCCTTTGTATCTGTAACCAGTCATTTTGTCATTTGTTGTCTGCCTAACCCTCTTAATCTAAACGGCGAGATAGGTGATTTATAATGAACAGAAGATTCGTCTCTGCAATAAACAGTTTGTCTAGTAAAGGTATGATAAACTAACTAGCAGAAGTAATCGTTTTTCCATCACAACTGTCATCAGCACTGAATAATCAATATGGTAACAAAAACTGGTGTGAAAATTTTTTTTGTGCTTCTAAGGACAGTAGACTGGGTTTTCTTTCCTTTATTACACAGAAAATTCCTGTCTTAGATTGTTGGAGCACATGTTTTAAAACTCAGGACAGGGGAAAAATATAGCTTTCAAAAGTCTTGATTATTCTAAACAAGCCATTTCCTGAAAGCCGATACTTAATGGTCTACAAATCATGGTTAACAGGTTCACGGGGGGACAACCTACAAAGACATTGAGAAGAAGGTGGAGCAAGCTGAGGAAATGGCTAGAGTGAATGAAATGTTGAACATTGACACGGTGTTGTTCTTTGACGAGGCTAACACGACTGATGCTTTGGGAATGATCAAGGAAGTCATGGTGGATCGCAGAGTCAATGGCAGAAAGATAGGAGTAGGGCTCAAGAGGCTACAGTTCATTGCAGCATGTAATCCTTACAGAAAGTAAGTGCAAGACTCATGGTGCAACTTCCAGTTTT